CCCATTAATTTCCTCCAGCCCTTCTTTAGGTTGGCATACACCATCCACCACCCTCTCATTTCCTTGTTCATTATTTCCTGTCTCCTATTGACTATAATTCTTCTTCAACTGCGCTGTGAATAATTTTGCCTCTTAGTTGTGGGATCTCATTATTTCTAAGATTGCTTGAAGGGTAGATTTTGTTTCCTCCCAAAATTGTCATTGTGTCATTATGTTCCAATTGTCAAAAAGACTGTATTCCGAGTTAAAGTCGTCCATATGATTAAAGTAATCAATCCAGTTCCATTGAGCTTGAATCCAGTCTCAAACATGGAGAGTTTTCTCCATCTAAAGGCTCAAGATCCCATCCAGTTCAACATCTAGGGTACAGTTTATAAGTTCCACTTTGGCTAAATTAGGCTTTCTAGGGTTAATTTGTCTGCAGTTCTGTCCTCAAAGAGAAAGGGAATTCCAAACAGTCATAGAACATTCAAGGCCATTGATTCTAGGCGTTTTGCCAGTGCCTTAGACAGCTGTTAGACATAACGGGTTTCATTTTGCAAAGTGGTTGTCAGTAGGGTTTTCAGGAAAAAGATTCTTAAGTTTTAATACCGAACTTCCTTCCTTTAAGTATAATTAAGTGTCTAATTAATGTTCAATTTATTTTCTTTGTGTCTCCCTCCATCTCCTTCTCTCCAGCTTCTCCGCAGCTCAATCAACGATGATGGAGAGCTATGAGACGCTGTTTCTGCCATAGTAATAGTCTACTCCAGAGATAGTAACTAGATACAGTTTTGAAATATGTTTCTCACCCATTTGTAGCACAATGTTAATTAGGCTGATTTATCGCTTATTTTACCCGGCTCCCGACAACTTGCAAGCAAGCTAGTTCAGCTGCTTGTTTCTGCCTGCTGGTTGATTGGGGGGTTTCCTGGATCAAACGTAGGTAACCACCATTCCCCCATGATCAACAGGCTTCTCCCCCCGTTTCACCACCTCTTTGGGGTGGTTTTAAGTCCCAGGGGGGTCCTAAACAGGTTGGAATTCAGCTCAGAGGACGGGGCCCCATCCTCCTGCTGCTGTCTTGTTGCAGCGTCAAGCCGGAAGTATCCTCTCTTTCAGTTTTAATGTCCAAATAATATTTTGCATCCCCAACTCTTTGATTTCTACTTCTTCATTTAGATAGCACACAATCTTTTTAATTCCTGTTCCCACTGAGTAGCTACAGTTAAGTCATCTCCGTAGGCTAGGATGAATGTTAAATATCAATTTCTGTTTAAAATATATAAACACTGATCTGCATCACCTTGTTTTAAGCCTTGTAGCAGTAGCATTTTCTTCAGTTTCTCATTCCAGGTCTAAGCAGCTTGCTTCATTCCACACAGCCTTTCTCTAGTTTGCATACAAAATCAGAATATTTCTGGTAGATGAAGCCTGGTGGCTGCTCCATATACATCTCTGTAATCTCTCCAGTTAAAAATGCAATTTTGACTTCTAGGTGGTTGACTTGCATCTTTCTGGAGGCTGCCACACTCAAGAGCATTATTAATGTGTTGTGCTTGACAATAAGAGGAAATGTTGCCTTCTCCATATTTTTGTAGGAATGCTTTTGCAACCAGTCTTATTGAATCATAAAATAATTGAGTTGGAAGGGGCTTATAAGGCCATCAAGTTCAACCCTTTGCTCAATGAAGGAATCCAAATCAAAGCAGATCTGGCACATGGTTGTCCAATTTTCTCATGAATGCCTCCAGTGTTTGAGCACTCATCACCTCCCAAGGTAATCAGCACTATTGTTGTATTGTTCTAACAATTGAGTTTTTTCCTGATATTCAGTCTAAATCTGGTTTTCTATAGCTCGAGCCCATTATTATGACTCTGGAATGATCGAGAACAGATCCGGTCCCTCCTCAGTATGATGATCTTTAAAATATTTGAAGAGACAGTTGTTATGGGTTTTTCGGGCTCTTTGGCCATGTTCTGAAGGTTGTTCTTCTTGACATTTTGCCAGTCTCGGTGGCCGACATCTTCAGAGGACTGGAGTAGGAACTCTGTCCATGCTCTGTTGCTGTTTGTTGGATAAGTTGAGTATTTATAGCTGTGGGAACAGCTTTTGTGAAAGCCTTCGAGAATACATATTTGAAGACAGCTCTCATATCTCCCTTCATGCTTCTTTTCTCAAGGCTAAACATGCCCAGTTCTTCATGCTTCTTTTCTCAAGGCTAAACATGCCCAGTTCTTTCCTCATAGGGCTTGGTTTCCAGTCCCATGATCATCCTTCTTGCCCTCCTCTGAACTGCATATAGAACTGGACACAGTAGATGAGGCCTAACCAGTACCGAATAGAGGGGGGCTAGCACCTCACAAGATTTAGAGATTATACTTCTGTCAATGCATTCTAAAATTGCATTTGCCTTTTTGTAGTGACATAACACTGTTGGCTCATATTCAGCTTTTGATATACAACAAGTCGAAGATCCTTCTCACTCGTAGTATTACTGAGCCAAGTATCCCCCATCTTGTAACAGTGTCTTTGGGGTTTTATTCCCCTTATGTGTAGAACTGCACTTATCCCTGTTAAATTTCATTCTGTTGTTTTCAGCTTAGTGTTCAAGCTTATCAAGATCATTTTGAATTTTCTTGCTGTCTTCCAAGGTCTTGCCTTGTAGCACTTCACTTCTCCCTTTGCATCTTGTTTCAGCTTGAATAGCTACTTGGCTCAGATAGCTTTCTTGACAGGTGGTTACTGTAGTCAGTGTCCATGTTTCATTTTTCTGCAGTGCTTCTATCTCTTCCTTTGTAACTTTTCTCCATTTGGAGGCATCAGCTGCTGGTACAGTATCTGCTCACTTTCCTCCAAGGTTGCTGGCTCATCTATCTGCACTGACCTTGCAAAGTAGGACAGGCGAGGAACTGGTACACCTTTGTTGGATCATGAGTGTCTGGTGGCCGATTCTGGAGCATTTTGTGATGTCTCTTCCAGTTCAACAGCCTTGAACTCTCCATCTGTGTCCCCTTTTCTTTGCATACTTCTCTCAGTTTGTGTGTCATTGGCTTCCTGTTTCATATTTGGCTCAGGTTGTGGAGAGATGGGCACCTTCATCTAAGAGAGGTCCAACATACTGGTCTTCTGTTCCTCTTTTCTCAGCTTTCTTTTGGTAATTAAAACGAAACGAACGTGAGCCTCAATATGGGCTTTTTCAAATACTACAATATTGGAATCTGTCCAACGTAGGTTTTTAACCAGGGCATTAAGAATACCAGGATCTGCCTCCATTGCCATAGTCTATTCTGAGACATCATGCTACTCAGTGAGTACTCTTGCTAAGAAAACAGACATGCTATTCTAGCTCAAAATAATTCACTGTATAGCCTCACTGCTGGTTTTGTTGGCCTATGAAAAAATGGGAAGGGATTCTTTGCCAGCTAAGATATCCACAGGGACATCTAAATTGGGTTACTCCCCAGTCTACCTCCACAAAGGGGGATAGAAGGTTCCTCGAGAAGATATTATTAAAAGATTATATTATATTGACATCCAGACTACTGTGGTATCTGTAGTTAGCTGCCGCTCCAATAGTATATACAAAGAATTTTTCTTGCCTTTTGGAATGGTGCCTTCATTATTGTCCCTTATTAGCTGAGACAACTGCTAACTAAATGTAGGCTGAACTCATTGCAATTGAAAGAGATTCAGGAACATTATATGGATCAACATGGTACAGGTAAATATTGCCCAGCAGGATGCTCTAAAATGGAGGACATGGTGCAAAATTCCCTTTGCATGCAGATATGAGGGATCAGTATTTTAAACCTTTAACAACTGCGATCAATTCCCCTTTATGTATAGTTTTATTTTTGCTAGCTGGCACAGACTACTAGATGTCCTATAGCAGTGGTCCCCAACCTTGGGCCTCCAGATGTTCTTCGACTTCATCTCCCAGAAATCCTGGCCAGTAGAGGTGGTGGTTAAGGCTTCTGGGAGTTGACGTTCAAGAACATCTCGAGGCCCAAGGTTGGGAACCACTGCCCTATTATAGGACTGCTTGAATGCATTAAACGAGCCATGGAGCAATGGAACTCATTGCTTGCTTCACAATCTCTTCAAGTTAATCTTACAACTTGAAACTTGTCTGAGAATGCTTTTTTATTATATGCTTTTCTGATTATTTATATTAGATGCTAAATACTATCTTTTAAGAGTGGTTTAATTTATGTTTATGTGTAGAGCCTGCTTGGCTATGAAGCAATATTTCAATTTTAATTTTAAAGGGTTAAAATTAAAGAGATTATTTTAATTCAACTAAGAATTATGTAATTTTCAGAAAAAAAGGGACATATGCTCTGTGAAGGCCCAGATGTGTGGTATGTGTATTCTCTCTTTGCAGGGCTAAGGGCAGTTTTAAGTGAGGGAAAACCTTAGATGGACTTAAAAGCCCAATAAAAGACATTTCATCTCTTAGTGTCACTAATCCAGCTGCTCCAAGTGAAAAGGATACTCACTCACTTGTTCCTTGTAGTGTGTGTGTGTGTGCGCGCGCGTGTGTGTTTGACAGAGAGCGAGAAAACACGTTCAGATTGGAGGAAATGAGCTGTTTCCCTGTATGATTTTTATTTCTACATGGATATGTGGAATGGCAAACACTTGAAGGGTCTCAAGTCCTGTATAAAATGTATTTTATCATTTTATTGATGACTTTTGACATTTTATATAGTTTGCCTAAATATACACTGTTTTGAAAATTTGAATTGCTTTAATATGCAAAATACTGGAACAAAGCCACCATTGCTATTACTTCAACGTTTGGTCGTGTAATCCAAATGCCAATTATTGTAAAGCTTTAAGTCTACAAGTGAAAGGCTCTGTGTTGACAAAAACATTTAGAAAACTAACAATGATTATGATATTTCACTTTATTATGGTAAATGCTCTGCAAAGTCTTACTAAGAGCAGGCATGGAAGGAAGTGTTAAGAAATGTCTGTTGTCTCCCACATGTATTATCTGAGCTAAAACTGGAAAGGGAATTGGATGAAATACAAACTGTTCATTTTATCATTGAGTTATTGCCACATAAAAATGTCATGTTAATAGGCACTAAGCTTAGAAAGTGGTTTTTCTGTATTTTACCATTTTCTGCTTTTTTCACCTAATGTATTTTAGCTAGGCCAAGCTTCCTGCTCCTGCTCCAGTACTAGCTGGAAGCTTTTTTTTTTTTTGAGAAGGAAGCTTGGAAGAAGCTTTGCCTGAGTAAGCCTCTAAGCCTTTTAATTTAGACATTGCTCCATGTGTACAGTTTCTATAAGATAGGTAGGCCTTCTTGAATAGAGAATTATGGTACTTGTATTCTAGTAAATTAAAAAAACCCAGCCCTACTGTAAAATACAGTGGTGCCTCGACCTTGACCTATGAACATTTTGAGTTACGAAAAGCTCTGCTCACAGAATTTTGCTTTGACTTCCGAACGGAGCTTTGACTTACGAACAAAAAACCCCCATGGGAAATGGACTTTGGACTGCCTGGTACTGCCTGGTAATGTAATTTTAAAATGTAAAAATTGGTTTAAAAGGTGCTTGGTTTGGTTTAAAGCTGCTTGGTTTTAAAGGTGTTCTGTTTAAAAGGTCTTCGTTCCCTCCCTTCCTCCTTTCCTGCCCCTTTTTTAAACCTAAGTCATTTTAGGTTTAAAAAAATTATCCCCCTAGTGGTAGAGGATGGATTAACTGGTTTTGCACTAGTTCCTCGGGGTACTAATGCTTTGACTTACGAACGGCACCTCTACATACAAACAAAAAACAGCCGGAATGGATTAATCGGGTTTCAGTGCATTCCTATGGGAAATGCTGCTTTGACTTATGAATTTTTTGATTTATGAATTTCTTCTGGGTCGGATTAAGTTTGTAAGTCAAGGCACCACTGTAGTGGGTTCACGACTCCAACTATAAATCAACATGCATTTATTCAACAGGTATCAACAGCAAGATAAGATGAAGAACAAACACAGTAACACACATGCACAATTTATACCATGCTGACCCACCCCACTCACCAGTAATTACCTACAGCTGGCTGACAACCCAGCTGTCAGGCAAAAAACCCTTCCACTTCCACATTGCTACATAACACCTACTATTTACTTCCGAGTCCTGCCTCCCCTTATGTTTCCTACTTCGAAGCTTTCTCCCCAAAGGTCTCAAATCAGTGACAACAGAAATAACTCAAAAATAGGGACTAAATAGAACAGAAGAATTGGAGAGAGAGAGAGTGGTATGGACTTTTGTTTATTTCACTATGTCAATCTATGAACGTGTAACTATTTTAATAGCAGTATATAACAATATTAATAATATTGTGTTTGGAAAACTTGATGACATATAGAAACAATTCAGCTTGGAAAACAATTCAGCTCGATAAAATGACAAAACTTGACTTCAAGCATGCTAAAGGTGCAAATATTCTGTGTACATAACATGGGGTATGTGATTTTCTCAGACTCTTATGCTAGCAAAATAGTTTGTGAAACCATCTCCAAATCATTGGATGACAGCCTGGATAGTTAATGAGAACATCTTACACTTAACAACCTTGATTGCTATCAAGCCACAAGCAGAATAGAATTGTGAGTGGAAAACAAGTGACTGATCATCAGGTACATGTGGAATTTGCTACATGTATTCAGGAGTAAGCACTCCTGAACTGTGTTTTCCCACATGGGTGTGTAAGACAGCAATCTCATGCATGTTTCCTCTGATGCCTGCTTCACAGTATTCTGTGAAGTCGGCTGCCAAATAATTGTGAATCCACAATTATTAGCAATACTAAGCAATACCTCCTTTGTGGATTAAACTAGCTGATGTTTCTACTGCCTCTCATGTTTTGGAGAGAAACAAATGACTTGGTTAGAAAAGGATTTTCCTGCACTCTGGTGCCTCCTGATAATCATGCAAAGGACTGTTCCACTCCTATGCTGTGTCTTCCTAAAAGTCTACACTGTATACACAAACAGAGGTAGGAAAAGCTATTATTTGTACTACAGCTCCCTGAATCTCCTCATGAGCATGGCACTGGTTGGAGGGTTCTGGGAATTGCAACAGAACTTTAAAGTAACTTTTCCAAGTGCTGAATGAATGTTATGTCAGCCTCTGGAAGGAAAGGTTACTGCTAGTAGGATCTGTGAACACGTGATTTTAAAGCACATAGAACAAATTGTTCCTCAAGACTGTCGTGATCTTCTTTTGCAACATAATATTCATTCCAAGCTATACTCTAAACATGATTCTTTGAACAACAGGATCATAGATTAATTAAAATTGTCATTTATTCACTGTTTTCTGTATTACTGCAATGTTTCCAGGGTGACCTGAAAGACAAAGTGTCATAAGTGTGTGTTATTTCACTAGTGATATAGTGTATAGCACATAGTTAATTGCTTTATCATGCATGGATCTCATATTTTACTGTAGCAAAAACTGGCTAATTGACTAATCTGGAAAAGATCACAGGGGCAGACATGTTAGGGTTCTAGACTTATGCATCAGACAAACCAGACTTACAAATTGAAGCTTATGTTCACATCTCTAAGACAATTTTTTAAAAAGACTAATATTGCAAACTGGGGTAAAAAGATTCTATTGTGACAGTTTGATCCCCTTACACTTAATGTGTTCCCTCTTCTAATGACATGTTCTGTAATATGCTGCGTGACATTGAATTACATCATAAAAATAAATTGCTTCCATGTTACCATTAAACCAGAATACACAAGGCTGAAGTCCAGTCTATGTGGCTATTCGAATACAGTAGCAAAGAGGCCGCAGGTAGAGAATGCCTTACTGCAAATGGGGTGTGCCAGTTTAGAATATCCAAGAATGAAAACAGGTTGCAACTGGTTGCTGACACATGCAGGATAAATGTTCATTCTATGCCCTGCCCCCCCCCCCCGCATCAACATTTTCTACATGCAGGTAGTTGTTGGGTTTGTTTTTTTAAACACCAGGAAGCTTAACATATACAGAGTCCCCACTTGCACAGTACTCTACCATTTCATTCCCATGTAATTTAGCAGCAGGAGCTAGTCTGCCTGTGTGGGACAATATGTGTTTTTGGTGGCCAGTACTTAGCTAGCAGGAATCTATAAGGTGCTAAAAGCCTTTATCTCTGGCCTTTTGCTCTCTCTTTTTCATCACCCAATTGCTTCAGAGCCACTATGTTTTAATTTTATTTCCGCAAATTTTGTGTTATGTATCTTTAAGTCAGAACTGACTTACAACAATCCTGATGGGGCTTTCCGGGTAAATGAGATGTTTAAGGAGTGGGTTCACCAGTTCCACCAGTACCAATGAGTTTCCATGGCCAAGTGGGGATTTGAACCTAGGTCTCCTGCATCCTAGTCTGTCAATCTATCCATTACACCACATTGAGTACTCTACAAAATCACTTGCCTCCATTTCTGGACTGACAGCCAGTAGTTCCGAATTCTACTGTGGCACTAGAAGAAGCAAAACATTTAAAAAACTGTAAGAATATCAGAGAGTGCATTAAGAATAAGTCAAATGAATAAAATACAGTATAGTTTTTTCTAAGATTACTAGCCATAGAGTCCTTGATTCTAAGATGGCAGTGAAAAGCTCCTCCCATAAAACTAAATTCGAAATTATCAGCGAAATTATGAGTTTCCTGGTTATTTATTTATTTATTTATTTATTATTTATTGTATTTCCCCCCGCCTATCTGGTCAGATGACCACTCTGTGTTGGGGTTAGCATGATGGGACTGTGATGTCCTGATCACCAACTGACGTATCATGCTAACATATGAGATTTTTCTATCTTTCTCTACCTGACAGTCACTCTCATGTATCAAATAATTTACATGTGCATGGATCAGTTTTATTTCTGCATATCTGTATGATATGTTTCTCCTCTAAATCGAACATTTGCCTTCCAAACTTGTAAGTCAGTGCAAAATGTGACTACACAAAAGCAAGCTGGCCTGCAGAGTATGTAGATGTTGGAGGAGAGCAGTATCATTGCTTTGTTTACTCTCTCACTTACATCTTATGGGAGAAGACATGCACAGGAAGGCTCAATTTAAATAAATAAGTCAGCAGCTTCATGTATTATTAGTACGTTTTTGTATTTGTATGTTTTTAATCACTTGAAACATCATTCTTTTTGGATGGAGAGTTTGCACTGGAAAATTGTAACTATGCCAAATGAAACTATGTACTGTAAATAGCTTTTTAGAATGAATAATGTGTTCCTGACTCTTACCTAGATAGGCTCATGAACTACAAAGACGCTTCCATAATTTTGTGGGTTATTCTCAGAATCAGCTGTGCATGTTGTTCAGTGTTAACCATTCAGTTTCATTTCTGTTAAGGTATGCAAAAAATGGAGTGGAAGTATCTCTTGGTGCAAAAGAGAATAGGATAGTCTTCCACCCCACCTCAATATGGAGTCCTCCAACTCTTTTGGCCATCAGCTCCACATGATCCTGGATCATATTAGCTGGGCATGACAGAAGGTGCCACGGATTGGGGAAGGGGCCTTTAAATGGAATGCTCATTAAGAGACTCAAGAGCTGAACTTCCTCCATCTTGGTTGAGACCTAGTTTAGGGGTGGAGGGGGTGGTACCAGCTGAAGAAGTGCACCTATTTTGTCTAGGAGTAAAGCTGAGTGTGACCAGGCTAACAGCCTTCAGCCATATTCTTTTCTTTGGAACTTGTACGATCCTTATATTCTGGGGGGGAAAACTTGAGTTGGAAAACTGAATTGGGATTGGCTGTTGGGTGTCATCACTGTTGCTAAAGCTGAAAGTATAACAGTAGATCAGTGCAGCGTCAAAATGGGCTTGTGTATTTGCATTTAAGCCCATCATACTGTTTGCAATGTTTTCACTTTTTGTAATCTCTGGAGTCTGTCTGTTGCTATTCTGAGACACCCTTGTACAGTGGACCCGTGACTTACAGACGGCTTGACTTACAGACTTTTTGAGTTACAGACTTCTCTGGCCGCAAAATTTAGGTTTGACTTGCAGCCTGAGAATTGACTTATAGACCAGAAAAAAACCAAAATGGAACAAAAACGGCCTGTTATGGGATTAATCGGTTTTCAATGCACTGTAGGTCAACGGAGACTTGACCTACAGACTTTTTGACTTGAGAACCGCCTTCCAATACGGATTAAGTTCTCAAGTCAAGACCCCACTGTATAAGCAGAGTAGCTTAGTTAGCTTTGTTGTGTCTCCTATGCTATAACTTATTCAAAAACTGTTCTAGCTTTAATTAGAAATTAATTGGTTTCTCCAAAGTGCCTTTTTCTTTTAATCTAGCTGTTTTGTATCCTTTCAACACAATCTTCTTCACATTGGTTGTGCTTATTGTAACCATGGAGAGAGAAAGTTGGTCCTCAATCCAATCTTGGCTCCTTGTTCAGCTGTGGAGTTTAGTAGTTTGGTGTTCTTTCCTGCGGGGCTGGTTATGGCTCTGAGGGAAGGTTGTTACAGGGCTTGCTGAGCCCTTCCAGCATTGACAACTACTGGGAGACTTGGTGCTCCAGGTGCTTAGTCTTGGACAGGCTTGGGCAGCTTGAGGTGAGCAAAAGATTCCTTACAACCCATTAGCTGGGTTCATGTAGAAAGGCCTTGTTCTGCTTATTGTCTACAGGGTATTTCACAGATGGAACCCTTCTCCTTACCTCTGACATCTAGCCGGCACTCTATTTCAGCTTCCCCACATTCATTCACAGCTTTGCAGGTGTAAATGCCTCCATCAAATGGGCTGGGCTTTCGGATTTCTAAAGTCAACACCCCATGCTTGCTGAACATGCGGTATTTGGGATCTTGAGAAAGGTCCACTTTGTTCTTAAACCAGAAGATCTTTGGCTGAATACATGCAATCAATTAGAAGGAAACAAGGAAGATGGGAAAGCAATTTCAATACTCCAAAATGTGAATTATTATTTTAGAAGCAGAATCAAGTCAGTTCTGAAACATCTAATTTTGTGTTTCTGGTTTGACCATGTTTGTTTCAAGAAACATGCAAATTGCTAAACCCATCTCTAGCTGCACATACTGGTCGGCATGCTCCTTAGGCCTCAAACAAGGCCAGGGAAGGCTGTTCTCATCCACATCCCACCTTTCCTACCAGACCTCTTGTGTTCCCAGAAGCTACAGCAATGGTTCCTGATTTGGGGTCTGTTAGCCTTTTAACTATGATTTGCCATATAACGATGCTGAGGGGCCATCATGAGGCCCTGCCTGTGCCTTCGTGCCTGTTCTCAGGAACGCTTTTTAGGAATGTTTATTGTGCCAGTTCTGTAGCATGTAAGGAGGGACAAGAGGGCTACCTTGAAAAGGGGCTTCTGATGGGGGTCTAGACAACATAAGGCTGAATACACATATTCTTATCAGAGATGACCAGCAGTGTCCCAAAACTGCTACAAACCTATTGTCCAAGCCTCGGCTCTGGCCTCATCCTGCATAATCTGAATCATCTTTCTCTTAATTCTTTAGCATTAAAAACTGATAAGTATGCCATAAGAGGGGGGCTTTTTTCTTTCTAAGGGGCTTTTGCTTGTCTTTAGAGCATATCCACTACAGTGTATTTATGGGCTTAAATTGCATTGTATCATGCTGGTTTCCTTTTCTTGGTCTTTGGCCAGGAACCATCCCCACCTAAAATTGGATAACAGATGTTTTTGGATTAAAACCTCCAGAAGCCTTCACCACTAGGTGTGCTGGCCAGGATTTCTGGGAGTTGTAGTCCATGAACATCTCGGGACCCATGGTTGGGAACCACTGGGCTACAGGATTTCCAAAATAGCTATGCCCACCCACGCACCATGTCACTGTGACTCCAGGAGTGCCTTCCCTCCATCAGCCTTTTTTCAGGGCTTTCCCAAGGTCATGCTCTCTTCCTCCCAGATCAAGCAATGCAGAGGCTAAATTGTAGTCTTGAGATTTGAACAGCCTTACAATGTAAATTTATTGCTCAGATAGAATTTCATTGTCCCCATTTTTGAGACTTCCTATCACAAGTGAATGTATCGTCTCACCACTCACTTCCCAGGTAGGCTTTTCTGCTGGATCATCTGTCTATAAGCTCCCCACAGCCCATTACTTACTGTGATGAGAAAATGGATGGGATATATATTAAGAATGGAGTGAGTACCTTTGGGCTTCCTCTTACAGCACAACTGAGTGTAGCGTTGTACCCAGCAACCACTGAGCGATCTGAAAGCGAGTGAGTGAATTTTGGTACTTCAGAGAAGTCATGTTCTTTGTATTTGGGAGGTTTATAAGATGTGCCTGCAGTTTGAGGAAGCAGAGAAGAAGGGAGCCAAATAAGAACACTTCTTTAATCTAGCCTAAGATTTGAAAGAATTACCTGCTCAAACATAATTGGTCCAAATCCTGTTGGTTAGTGTAGTAAGTCACACCAGAGTAGGCCTATTGAATCAGTGGAGATTTGGTGAGTGAATTCCTCCATAAGATCCACTGATTCAAATGGACCTCCTCTAACTGCAGAGGAAGAAAGGTACGTAGTTTTTTACTTCCCATTTTCTGCCTCCTTGTCTCTTCCCACTTCTGGGAGAAAGATTTCAGTTTTTAAAATTTTCTCTAGGAGTTACAGGTTACAGCACATCAGCACACGTTTTTGTTTTCCTTCCTGTCTCTACTCCATGGAAGAATTGTTAATTTCAAAATTACCTCATATTGTTAAGTTGTTGAGCTGTCTGTTTAATTATTAATGATATGGGGAAATTGAAACCAGGTGAAAAATGGAAACTTGCTTTAGTTTTGGTCACAGCAATCACACAGAAATGAACCAAAACAGAGCAATCCTACCCACACCTAAACGATAGTAACCCCTGACATGGACCCAGAAAGGTGCAGGTAAGAATACTTGGGGGGGGGGCAGGTTGGTTTGCTTCAGCAAATATAGTGTAATTACCAGCAAAAAAAGTGAAGTAGCCTGTTTCCCCACCCCACCCCCAACCCCACCGACTAAATGTCTGTGTATTAACCCTCTATGACCATCACAAACAGCGTGTAAGGAATTCACACTTCTAATGATTCTAATACCTTGTCAAGGAATTGAACATTAGAGACTGGCCGGTAATTATCCAATACCATGAAATTCAAGGAGTGTGCTTTTTAGCAGTTGTTTTACCTCCTTTAAGCATGCTGGGATCCTACCCTACTCAAGGGTAGGATCCCAGCAACTTCATTGCTCCTCCTACTCACTGAGCTAGTCAGAGTGAATCTGAGCAATTTTGTGTGCAAATTGCTATGCAAATCCTTCACAGCACACTGCAGTGTGGTCTTTCTGTGGGATGCCATGTAATAGGCCCCCTGATCACTTGAAAGAGCTCTGCCGGATGTCTCTGTACAGATACAATGGTGGCAGAGAAGAACAACTTTGCTGCCACTGCCATGGAGGAGGCCTTCCAGTGGGGCCTAGTCTGTGTTCAGTCAGATTTACTCCAAATTTTCCACCATTGTCACTCTAGTCTTTGTCCCACTTGTTTCATTACCACCATCTCCTAACCAAGAGGCCAGTTTGATGCCACGTCATGGATGGGGACATTTAGGAGTGATTGTTTCAACATCCCTGACTATTTTTTTAATCCCAGAAATCAACCAGGGCTTTGACAGAATCACATGCTGAGGCAACAGGCAATGAGCTGCCAGGAAACCATTTGGATCCATCAGCCTCTTGGGATTGACCATTTTAATTGTCTCACACTCCTGTAGAGGCTCTGAGTTCCCTTCCTTTTCACTCTGATGCCCCTTGAAGCTGGTTCTATTTCCCTCTACTTTCTGCTATAGGAATGAAGGATGACCATTTATATGTGCAAAGGCTTCTGGCATGGACAGGGCTGTGGCTAATTACAGTGGACCCTTGACTTACAGACGGCTTGACTTACAGACTTTTTGACTTGAGAACCACCTTCCAATACGGATTAAGTTCTCAAGTCAAGACCCCACTGTATTTGTCTAGTCCTTGCCGACCCTTACCATTAAACATCAAGCTTGTAAATAAAACATTCCTCTTCTGTTTCTTAGTCATGCTAAAGCAGGGATGGGGAGAGGGCAGCCTGAGTCCCTCAAGGCTGTTTTTGCAGCCCCTCTCCCCCAACTTCCATTTTTGCCGAGAGAGAGAGAGAGAGAGAGAGAGAGAGAGAGAGAAGCTTGCTGCTTTTGGAAGTTTTAAAATAGTTATGCCCAATTTAAATATACTGTGTATCTCAAGCAGGCACTGACCTCCTTTAAGCATGCTGGGGTCCTACCCTACTCAAGGGTAGGATCCCAGCAACTTCATTTCTCCTCCTACTCACTGAGCTGGTGCCTCTCTGACAGCTTCAGTAATCCAGGAAAGGCAAGGATATAACAGACATGTGGTAGCCTTCACCTCTCCAAGGGTCGTCTCCACACCCTCAGGTTGCAATAACTGAAACATCTCCATTAACACTGTACAAGCAGGGGCTAAAGTTACATTTACAGGACCTGTATCAACTAGAGCATCCAAGTCAGAGTGAATCTGAGCAGTTAGTGTGCAAATTGCTATGCAAATTCTTCACAGCAAGCTGCAGTGTGGTCTTTCTGTCTCCTACAACATCTCCTACAATGCACAAGTTTCTGTGGCCACCACACAAAGCCTCATTGGGAGATTCTGATAAAGAAGTTGTTGCATTCTATAAATGAATATATTGCATCAACAGTTTGATAATAATGGCCTAAAACCGGTGCTGTTTTGGTGCTGCACTACCAACCGTTTTTCTGTTCTCTATAAATGAATATATTGCATCAACATTTTGATAATAAATAATGGCCTAAAGCCAGTGCTGTTTCGGTGCTGCACTACCAACCGTTTTTCTGTTCCCACCTCACTGCTCACATTGTTGCTGCCCAAATCCTGGCCTTGGAGGGCTTCCTAATCCCCCAAAGCACATTTTTGGGGTGCACTAGAGGGCAGTGGTGATATGGAAGTCACCTCTTCGCAAGCCTAGTGACAACAGCACTTCTACCCCACGGTTGTATCTATTGGCTTTAGGCCAGGAGTTCCCAAACCTGAGTCCCCAGATGTGCTTAGACTGTAACTCCCAGAAACCCCAGCCTGCACAACTAATGATGAGTCTTCTAGGACTGTTAGTCCAAGAACATCTTGGGACCCAAGGTTGGGAACCATTGCTTTAGGCCATTATTCTTATTGTCATTTTGTCAAATACAAATAGCAAATATTCATGTGAATACCCCATGATATTGCTGACAAATATTTTCATATCATCATTCACTGAGGTAATGAGTATTTTTAATAAAGCATTTGAGGGGGCAAGTTAATATAACCTTTCTTGTACCTGTCTTTTTAATGTAGGCAGGGTTTTTTGTGGTTGTTGCATTTTCACTCAATCCACACAGGTTTTCACTGAAGATCCGGAAATAGTATTCATTTCCCATGATCAAATCTGATACTACACAATTAGTACGTCGATAATGATCAAAAACTGTATACCACTCCTGAAACCAAAATAAGCAGGATTAGAAAAATGGGAGACCATGCAAAGGTCGCAACAGCAGCAACAACAAGCCCCTGTCAAGGAGGCACAGTGGAGAATTGAACTCCCAACCTAAACCACTGAGCTATACAACAGATCATGTGCTTCTGGAAAATTATGCACAATAAAACCCATATTTTATACATGAAATGCTAGGGATGAATTTAGACCCCTTCCCAGCATTTCATTTTCAGGACTGATTTAGATTTAGATTTAGTTTACTATGGTAGTTAACAAAAGGTACTTTGTTCAAAAGTTATATTTGCAGGGGTGCTTCTCATACCTTCCCTTTCCCTCACCCTATGATGTCTTTTGTGAAAGCCAAAGATTTTCATAGATAAATATACAAAATGTAGCATCTCATTTATTCCCTAGCGAATCATTTTGTGCACCTCCAGACAAATAACTGTCGTGTTGTTTTCCAGGTGTGCTTTGGAATATTTATTTATTTATTTATTTGATTTCTATCCCGCCCATCTGGTCTATGCGACCACTCTGAGTGGCTTCCAATATAATACAATTAATAAAAACACATAGTTACATAAATCTACAAATGAAAATGTGGAAACCAAGAAAATAGAGTAAAAATAAATAAAGGAGAAATGAGAAGAGAGAATCAAGGCCTGAATAAACATCCATGTTTTTACTTGGCTTTTAAAGATACCCAGCGTAGGGGCCACACGAATCTCTGGAGGAAGTTTGTTCCAGAGGCAAGGAGCCACCACCGAGAAGGCCCGGTTTCGTGTCTTTTCCTTCCGGGCCTCTCTGGGCGTCAGGCCCTTCAGCCTCCCCTCCTGACTTGCACGGGTGATCCGGGTAGAGCTTGATGGGAGTAGGCATTCCGCCAGATATCGAGGTCCTAAACCGTTTAGGGCTTTATAAGTAAGCATTAGAACTTTGAAGTCGATGCGGAAACAGATGGGCAGCCAATGCAATGCGGCCAGAGTAGGAGAAATATGTTGGTATTTTCTCACTCCACTGAAGAGTCTGGCTGCCGTGTTCTGCACCACCACCGCGTTCTGCATCAGCCTCAAAGGCAGCCCACGTAGAGCGCGTTACAGTGGTCTAATATTGCGAATATGAGTGCATGCAACAAGGTGGTGAGTGCCCCCGTATCAAGGTAGGGCTGCAACTGAGCAATCCACCAGAGGTGGAAAAAGGCGGTATGGACTACCGACCCCACTGCGTTTCCATGGTGAACGCTGGGTCCAGATGGATCCCCAAGCTGCAAACCCCACTCTTAGCGGCCAAGGTCCCCCCCCAAACAAGAGAGAGAATCAAAGATGATGACTCCAAATAGGATAATTTGGCTATCTACACTTATGCAGTCAATATTCCTTACCATAGTTTTTTTATCTGCTTTCTGGATTTAAACAAGAGAGATAATAAAAGATGATGACTCCAAATAGGATGATTTGGCTATTTACACTTATGCAGTCAATATTCCTCACCATAGTTTTTTTATCTGCTTTCTGGATTGTATATCCTATGATCTGAGCATTGCCATCATCCTGTGGTGGTTTCCATTCCAGCGCAACATTGAATCCCCACACATCCACAATTTTTACATTCTGTGGAGGGCCAGGCTTGTCTGCAAAAAAGAAGAAACCAATTACACAAAACCAACTGTCACATAGTCAAGATTCACCATATAATTTGTCATTGGCAAGATGCAAGTAGAGCTTGACTTAGACTGTTTCCTGTAAGTTGTTCACACACAAACATCCTAAAACAGTTCCCATTTCCAGTCCATTCATGGCATTTCACCTTTACTTTGTGGTATATCTAAATTATGGACCTTTCATATTTTAACAAAAGACAAAACAAGGTCCCCCTCTATTTGCATGTACTTTTGTTGATTCCTTAAAAAGAGTATTTAAAACACAGATGATTCATGTAAATGAAAGAGGTGTACACAAATGTTTCATGTTTCTTTTGTGTTCCCTCTTTGTGCAACCTTTCTTTCGCCCTCTGTATGTTAAACTGCCTGATTTTTGAATCTTCATCATCATCATCATCCTAGATCTGCAGAGCTGGGAGAATCAAACTCCCAACCTGTGGTTCTACAGCCAGATACCAATACCAGCAAGCCTTCCAGTAGTTAAAAAAACTTTCATGAAATGAAAATTCATCTTATTATCTATTGGGTTGGGTCAAGATTTATTCATGCTAGGAATGTGCCCACTGAAAATCAATGGGGTAAAGACTGTCATGATTCTTCTTTCCTATTGATTTCAATATGTCTGTTATTTCTTAAGTTTGGATCCAGTCCACTGATTAGTGAAACCTATGCTGGAAATCACTAGGAATTAAGAGTAACTGGATGGCCCAGATAGTGATACGTCTCTTTAGCTTCAGATCAGGCATTTATCTGAGTGTGCTCTTCCCATTAATAGAAATTCTCAAAGTGGGGAAAACCCCCAAAAGATCAAATATTAATGTAAAGCAAACATTGAAGCAAGACAAAAACCAGCTACTCAAAATGACTTTCATTGGAAATAAACCAATGCAACAGCTACATATCCTCCACAATTAAAGCCGACGTGCTTGCTTTCACTTAAGAAGTTTTAATAGCACACCAGAATTGAATCTGGAATATTTCCTATCAGCTTTTAAAACACTTCATTTAACTATCATGATGGCATTTGCAATCAGATCTCTTTGCCTGAGATTAACTGACAGGCACTCCTTCAAGTATGTTGGAACTAAGCCACACAGGCCCTTAAAAATGAAAATCAACACCTTGAATTGAGCCCAGAAGCAACTGGATAGCTAGCTAGGAAAAATCTTGCAATACTGACATTATGTAGTCCCAGTGCCTGACACCATCAATGGGTCTGACTGCAGTCTTTCAAGGATTGACCCACACACAACACAGTGCTGAAGTTCCCTGAAGCAGTTTAGAGCATTTATAAACAACAGCAAGGACAGCTGCCACAGCAGCTGAACATGTTAGATTATGTTTCTAGCTCATCACTGGGAATGTTAGTTCAAAAAGTAACTAAACATGTTCCACCACACAGAGGCATAACAACATTACAATTACAGTTGGTTAGGTCACAAAAGTGCTATGTTGCATACTTATCTATGTGTTATCTTTATATACACACAGGAAAAATACAGTCGGAAAACAAGAGTGAGTGATACTCTGATTAGATCACTAGACTCTCACATAGGGAGGTAGTCTTTTGAATCTTCATGAGTCTTTGTCAAACTGGGTATCATGGAGCTGGTGGCACTGCAGAAAAATCCATGGCCAGATGTGCAGATCATGGGTGTGTTTTGGAATGTTTATGGTCTTTTGCCTGCACTGTCACTAGCTCCATTACACCCAGTCTGACAAAGACTCATGAGCAGTCAAAATCTTGTGTCTCACTGCCACTGTGTTTGTACCCTTAAATTTTTTTAAAATTTTTTAAAAGGGATATTGATAAAGTGCTAGTAGCTGCCGCCGCCACTGCCACCACACGTACACAAACAACCCATAAATATATAGATCAGAAGGAGACAGCTTTCTTATGGGTGAAAGAGGGCTTGAGATTTTCTGCTTTAGATTATAAAGAAAGGAGTGCTGAATTTTTGAAACCCTGCTCTTCACAATATTTTACAAGTCTTTTAAAACTTGCTTCCTCCTCCCAACATTGTTCAAAAGGCAAAAGAAAAATGAAAACCAAGAAATGAGAGGGAGAGATATGTATGGAACTCAGGAAAAGGGGATAGGCTAGTAAAGGAGGGAAGAGAAAAGGGGAGAAGCAGGGAAGGCTCATACTGCTTTATCGATATATCACCTTTGCAAATTAAAAAAAAAAAAAAGGAAAAGGGAGGCCCTGAATGCCCCGAGAAACAGTAGAGAAAATGAATCAATACAAAATTAAAGACCAGTATAGCCGGCTATAACAATTCAAAAAGAAATAAATTAATCACTAAGGTTAAAAACAATATAAACATTCCTATCCATAGTTTATATCACGCAAATGCAGGAAAAAAATTATTGGTAGAACAGAGGGATAAAATGAATCAGTATAACTGGAGGTTGTTTCACATAGCATAGAACTCTAAGACAAATATCTAACTTTGTCTTCAAATTGTTTACAAGGACCACATGGTGCTCCCCCCCCTTTTTTTTTTGGTAAGCAAAATACATTCTTCTAGGTTCTTCTCTGTGGCAAATTCCAGTATCACATCTTTTAAAAATACAGAAAAAAACACAAACCGAAATAGTTGTAGCAGAAAAGCAAGAGAAAGGTCAGGTTCCTTCTCTTCTTCTATGCATTTTTTTCTTCTAATTAACTAAGAAACTGTTGTTGTTTTTAAAGCTTAGTCTTGTTACATTTTTTGCATTAAATCTTAAGCAAAAAACCTAAAACCCAATGTGAGATTGGAACACATACGGTTTGAGCTGATGCAAAACATTTTGCTACCTGAGGTAATACAGTGAGTGGCACAATCCCCACTCACCCAATCACTTGAGCACCCAAACCAAATTATTTGGGCACAGGGCACACATTCCTGAAGCCCACTCCCCATTTTTAGCAGAAAAATTAAGAAATGAATGTTAAATGATTAAGAATTTGTTCCCCTTATATGAGAACTAAAATTTGCTACCTGAGGTATGGAATGCATGTGCATGTAAGTCAAGCAACTTCAGCCAGGATCTGGATATAAAAGTAAAATTCCATCCATAACTAATGCACTGTGTCCACAAAAGAGTGTTAAGAATGTTTTGGTCCATGGAAGCTCACTCTGAAATAAATTTGTTAGCCTTTAAAGTATCGCAATATTTTATCCCCCCCCCCTTTTCCACTTTAATTTTACCAATATGGTGAGACAGACTAACATGGCTGGAAACTGCTACAATGGACAACTCGACAAAAAGGGTCCATATTAATATGATTAAAGGTTAATGATAAATAAAAAGATAGATACCAGTAAAGGTTCTAATAGCATTAAAAATAATGCTCCACCAGTTCATTCTGATGTTCATAAAAAAGAATGCTCACAAACATACCAAGCCACATACCTCTAAGCTCTGGTCTAGGTGCAGGGGGAAGAGTTAGACCCAGGAACATAGCCAACCTTCCGACTTTCTCCTTTAAAGAAGAGTTAAACTACGCAGAACTGCTGAGTCTCTTACCTCTGATACTAAGGCTGTACAATGTTAGCAACTCCTTCTAAACAAGTGGTTTCCAACCTTGGATAATCAGGTCTTGGACTGCAGTTCCCAGCACAGTTGATGATGAAGGCTTCTGGGAATTGCAGTCCAAGAACACATGGGATACCCAAGGTTGGAAACCACTGTTTTAGACTAACAACAACACAGGAAATTGGATGGAGCCAATACCTACACGCAGTATATATAGAGATGTGCATCAGGGACACACTTTGTGAGAAGAGAACATTGCATTCCATCATATGGAAAAACAGTTGTGGCGCACCATTAGAAAGAGGATGCATAAAAAGGGAAGTTGGAAAAATATTTATTTGACAAGAATTTCCCAGAGGAATGTGGCAGTTCCTTAACCAATAATAAAATCATCCTGACATTAATATGGAAGAAATCCTTGAGATACTTGGTAATCTACCAGAAGCGACAGCAAATAAGAATTTTTGCAGGAAGTTAGAGGTGTGTTCTGTAGCAACCTTATGGAACCTGATGAAACCTCCCCAACCCACAGACCTCCCTAAAATATATAGTAGCAAGTATATTTATAACATAATTTCAAATCCAAGGCCACCAGGCCAAGCAAAGTCATGATGTGATGGCTTCCAATCATTCTCAGCCAAGGCACCCATGAGGAGGGCTGCCCAAACAATGCCAGCAAGACAGACCAATTGTTAGAGATAAATATAACATCTCCTCTTTATGGAGGTTGCCCTCTCAAACCAATGTTGCTTCATTATTTGTATCCATTTCTGGTATACAGTCAATAGTGTGCAAATGAATGCCACACTGGTTGCTGACGCTGTCATTTCAAGTGTCACTGAAGCATTTCCAATATACAAAGTAATTTCTCCCATACACATTTTTATGGTGTGGTTTGGAAGTATCAAACAATATTCATGTCATGTTATACGGGCCCCCACCCTCATTTTCTTGAAAGTCAGTGGCGTTTATTCCAGCATATCACTTCTTTAGTTTATACATGCATCCACAAAAGGGCAGCAGATCTTGTCTATCAGATATATCCAGTAATCCCTCCTTAACTGGACACCTGTTAGAGAAGGCCAACTGTCTAATGGCCTCCTTAAATGATCAGTAACTAAATGATCAGTAACTAAATGTCATACTGGGTGATCTGTGTGCATAGCAATCAAATCTTCAAAATTAAAAGTTTGACTTCACTTTTCTGACCCCCCCCCCAAAAAAATCATGGATAGCTGGTTATGCTGGGGAAACAACATCTTGCACTCCAGTCGCTGAGGTTAGCAAGCTAAGAATTCTAACAGATACTTTGACAGCAACTGGTTATGCTGGGGAATAGAAAGAAACAACATCTTGCACACCAGTCCCTGAGGTTAGCAAGTTAAGAATTCTAACAGATACTTTGACAGCAATTAAGCCCCACAAATGGCTGTACATTCTAATTCCTCATTTTGGATTAATTGAAATATACTACATGCTGTTGTTAAGCTTGCATATATTAACACCAAGCTTGCAGCTTTCTTAAACTTTTATTAGTAGAATAGCAGGATAACTACATGCAATGTGTGAGCTCCATGACCGGAACTCCCACAGTCTTTTTCTACATTAAAAAAAGAGAGCAACCCTGGAGGTGCCTCATTTTGACTAGGGCTCTGGTCCAGGGTCAAAGGATCCAACTTTCATTCCACAATTGCAACCAAGAACTCCCAAAGCTGCTTTTTGTGATAGAAAAAGATGGTAAGAATGTCAGAAACAGGATTCCCACATTATGTATAGTTAGATTCTTAGAAAACACTAAAATAGCACTCAACAGTCATCTCATATGGTTCAGGGCTGATACAAGAATGGAACGGTCCACAGCATTAGTAATGTTAAAGTAAGGGCTTGATCAGATGGGTGTTTGTTCCACTGTTTGCTCCGCTGTGGAGATGGTTTGGTTCACTCTTTTTTCCAGCAATGCAATTGCTGGATTGAACCAGAGTCTTCCCACAACAGTCCTAACCACACCTTTTTCATCCCTTCTTGGAGGCTTCTATTTTTTTGGTGTGGGTAAGATTTCTCTGGTTTGGCCTGTTTCCAGAGTGTGAGATCACTAGGAAGAGATCAAATGCAATCCTTCCCAACTGTCAAGACTTAAGTTTGAATTTGCAATATTGTAAAGTGGTGTAATAAACAAGCCAGGATAGGAAATTGAACACTTGCTTTGCTCCTCAACAGAGGGGCAGGGGAAGTGACTTCAGGATAGGAAACTGAACACTTGTTCTGCTCCTTGACAGAGGGGCAGGGGAAGTGAATCCACAGATTTGGCTGAAGGCTGTTTCTCAACTGGCCCTTCAGACAAACCAAAAAAAATTTTTTTTTCTTTTTCTTAAAGTGATGTAATGTCTCAGTAATAGTCTACCAGAATCTTAATTTTTTTCCCTTTCACTTCCCCTGCCTCTCTACTGAGGAACAGAGTAAGCTTTCAATTTACTGATATCCTGAAGTGGCTCACTTATTAAGTCACTTAATGATATTGGAAGAAACTGGACCAAATAGGGTTGCTTGAGTTCTGATATGCTATTTGGATGCAAGGATCACACCAACTGGGATTCATCTGATCCCAAGTGAACCTATTTGGCCCACACCATCCCTCTCTAAAAGAGCCAGTAGTGTAGATGTGTCCTGAGAGTCATAGACAGGACCAAGCTACTTTTTAAAGCATATACATGAGACATCTGGGTCTGGATAAATGAGTAGTATTGTGGATTGTTACAACACTATTGGTTGCTTCTTCATGATGAACATCCCTTTATAAATTGTTTGAGTAAGTTTTTAATTATTCACAGTGTTTAATATTAATGTGTTGAACGTTGTATTACTATTTAAGGCCTCATTGGCTCCACCTTACAAGCCCCCTTTGTCCAAAAGGTGAGATAAAATTGGGGTGGGGGGGACGATTTTGCACATTCGGCATTTCTTATATACTTGGTTTCTGAGCTCATTTGATACACTCTAATAGACTGATGTTAACATGCCCTGATCCTGGCCATAAGCAGTTTGAGTATGCACAGGTTTTCCCCCATCCATTTCAGTGAAGAAAGATGTTCTGTCTGTTCAAAAGACAATAAAGCAGGACTTAACATTTGTATATGATATTTAAGAGTTCAAAGAGCTTCCTAGGCATCATCCCTTTGTACTTCTACTTCCAACAACCTTGCAAGATAGGTTAATATTACCTTCCATATTGCAAATAGTGATACTGAGACAGAAGGAGAAGGTGTGATGGTCTCTGTAAATACATGTGGTTGGAACCAAGTGCAGAGGGGTTTAACATTTCCTTTTCCCAACCATGATACTCCAAAAAAAAAAAAAAATCACAGCAGCTGTGTCATAAAAAGAGGTAGAAAGAAACCTCAATTTTGCAGGGATTTCCCTGTGCCCCCCAGAGCTGCAACAGGGGTGAAGACTCAATCTTCATTCATCATATATTATGCTCTCGCTATGAATCTCTTTCCTTACTTGTTTTAATTTAAAAAAAAACTTGTATTGCTGCCTCCCACATTGAACCTGTGAGGTTAGATTGCTCCCCTCACCCCAAGGTTCCTAGCAGAGGCAAGGCTTAGTCACGTAGGAACAGATTTCCTGATCTGTAGCTCAGGGCCAAAACAAGAACCCAGGGAATTGTGTCTTTCCTGCTTTTACAACTTTTTGTCTTCAGAAAGCCAATCTCCTTTGTTATGCCTGTCTTCAAAGCTAGCTATGCAAATGAAGCCACTGTGTTTTCACAGTTATGCCTTTTTCACCACTTGAGGAGCACTGTTTCTACACGTCCAGCATCTCACCAAGTAATGCCCTGTTTCCTAGACTGCAGCCCTCTTTCAGATGAATGGGAACACTCTGGCAAGTACTGTATTGGACCTGCAAAACAAACCAATCCAAACACCCTTTATTAAAGTGATTATGTTTAAATGAAGAACTCCTCAGACTCCAGCAGTTTCTTACCCATAACCTGTATGGTAATTGTGACTTTATCACTCATGTTTTCTATCTGCACCTCTACTTCATATATTCCAGAATGGTGGCGCTCAGCCTTTCGGATAAACAGGATAGTGTCTGTGTTGCTGTTTCGAACGGCCACTTCCTTGGAGTCTAATGGCTGACCATTCTTTGTCCAGATAATTTTAGGTCTCGGTTTACCCTATAGGAAGAAAAAAAATGAGAAAATTGAAACAGCAGAGTTTTTAGTGGACTGATCACCTGTTCTATGTACAGAGAATACTGGTCTCTTGTTCAGTAATCATATTTTAACTTACTTTCCATATTTCTTTGCCATTCTTCTGCACAAGAACCACACCTACCCACCCAAAACCACCACCACTGCCAGCACAAACATGCTTTTAAACTGCTTTATTAGAAACTGGTCTGTTAACATAGGTTTCTCCAATCTCAATTATACCTCCGTGTTTTGTGCTCCCTGAGAAGATGGGAAACTTTCATGCCTGATATGATGTGATGGGTGATCCACAAAGGTCAAGGCTGCACCCAAAAACACCCAGCTCAGCCTATGTGGGTTTGGGGAAAAAATCCCTTTCTATAAGGTTAAGACTGAAATTCTCTTCCCACCTCCTAAGCACGATTGGGACAAGTCTTGTCCCTCAGTTCCACCACTGCCAAGCAGTGGCCTTGACAAATCCACTCTCTTCATTCAGCTTTCTGTGCTTCAGAAAACATTCCTTTGCATCTGTCAAATAAATATGCTCAAGTTTTACTTGTTCATTCAAGAATTGTTTACCCTATTTCATATAATGCTGCGCTATAAAATATATTTTATTGTGAGAGGAATTGCAAGCTCCCCTCCTCCCTACTTGGATTCCAGATAAACCATAGTTTAGCATGTCATCCAAAACCAAACTGTGGGTTCTTCCAGACAAGTCATTCTTACCTCTTAAGCTTCCTGTCAAGCATGGACCTTACCTAAATTTCTCCTACCATTCAGATGACGCTCCTCCTTGTCCTTTATGTACAGGTATTGACAGTGTTTTTCGTGAATGAGTGCTCACACCTTTTTGCCCCATCCAATCCCTTGCTTTATTTCATGCCTCTTCACTCCACTTTCATTCCAATGTTGTCTGCCCCATGTGGGTAAGTCTTGGGCTGAGGAGATCTGTTTGTACTATTTGGGTGAATGTTTGGTGGCCATTTTGCTGCTATTGAGTCCTTGTATGGCTTTCTTTCATTCCTCCCTCTTTCCTGCTGACATTACTTCCCCCTCCTTCCCCCAGCGTTTCCATGATTCAGAAGACTGACCCTTCCTGTGCTGCCTGCTTCCCTTCCAAAAGTGCATGCTGTTCTCCCAACCTTACATTCTCTCTGCTGCTTCAGTGTTCATATGAAATGAGGGAAGAAATTGAGAGAATGGGGGTGGGGAATATCTTGGGAGCCCAGGAGATGTAATCTCTAACTGTTTCAGGAGCTGCCTGGCTTTCTAATTATTTTTATTAATGTTGATGCTATTGATATAATAACGTTGCATGCTTTCCAAGACTGGATAACACTTGAAGGGAGGCTTTTAGCATCTAAAGCAGGGGTGTCCAACCTTTCACCTTCCATGGGCCACATTAGAAGATGAAAATTTGGTTTGGGCCGCATATAGATTTGGTTTGGGCCGCATGGGGGGGGCAGCCCTAGCCGTCCTCCACAGCCCCGCTCCAAGCGCGCTTACCAGCAGCTGCGATCTCAGACAGCAGAGGCTCCTAGCTTCGCCTCCGGCGGGAGGGGGTCCACCTATTGATGGGGACGGCGCAATACAGTCATGCAGCCCCCCCCAGTCCCCTCCCCTCCCACTCCTTCCTTCCTTCCCTCTCTCCCCCTCTACTGTTGTGACATGCCCCGGCCACCTTCCGACTGCAAGCACCGGCAGTGTAACTTGAAACTTTGGAATTTCTTTAAAAATAAAAAATTGCACTGGGCCGCATTATGAGCTGACCTGGGCCGCATGCGGCCCTCGGGCCGCAGGTTGGACAAGCCTGATCTAAAGGGAGTCTCTCTTTTCCCACTAACCTATTAGTAAAATTTCCCTCCCCCCAACCTCTGGCTTGTCCTTCATCTCTTCCTGCTTGTTTGCTTCACTTCTTTTGTTTGGTAGTCTCTCTCTGTCCTTTCCTGACCTCCAAGCATGTAGGAAGCATGAAGGGGCCTTTCCCACATGTGGAGAGTCCATTTCCCCCCTATTGACTGTAACTATAGACAGAACTGGAGGTAAATGTACCCTTTTCCCACTTAAAATGTTCCTAGAGTGTTAGTCACAGTGAAAAGTACTAGTCACTGTGAAAGAAGGTGGGCTACTGATATTTAAATTATTCTCTCACATTTTCTCTGCAGTAATTCTTTGTATCTGATACTCTACTAATTATACAATGAATTAACGAAATTCTTCAATCTTGGGATATCCTGATAAATCCAACTAAATTGTGACAAGGGGGGGGGGAAGGGAGAAGGTGTATAAATGTCCTATCTCGAAGAGACCTATGTTTAATCTCAACAATGGTTTATTGAATGCCAGCTTTGTAACCACAGTTTCATGACACAATAAGACATGATGAAACACGAACAGAAGCAAAATAAATAAAATGAAAACCTGATATCTTCCTCACATCTGTGCCTGATGGGGAAGTGTGCAAGCACAGGGGGAGGCACCAGGTTCAATCTTGTCATGATAACCAATGGTTTGTGACATCTATTTTCTGCCACTGCCCATATTTTCTATTTGAGCTTGTCTTGACTGAGTTGAACTGAATTTTTCATTGTTTCAGCAAAGGGTTCTGAAATAACATGTGTAAATATTTCCCCACAAAGTGCAATTAGAGGTCAAATTAGATGATACAATTATCCCATTGTTAAAAGCAGGGATTCCTTAAGTGCTGAAAGATGTATGTTTGTCATTGCATGCACTTTCAGAGAGCTCCATAACTAGCTTTTCAACAAGCTTTGTTTTGTGGCTGGTTGCTGGAAAGTCAATATGTGCAAGGCTAGACTCATATTTCTGAAGTTGCCTGGATTCATATTTCTGAAGAAATCATGTTCCAGGAGGGAAAATGCTTCTAAGTGTAAGCTGACCTCTTGTCTAGTTTGACCCATGGTACTGCATAACAAATGCACACTTGTTGATTATCTGAAAACACTTAGAAGTAATTACAGGTTGTAAAATGTTATGAATCTGAATCTAAATCTGTAGAGGAACACTAAGCTTCTAATTCACATAGCTATGTATATTTTGAAATGAACAGAGACTTTGCCATTCAGAAGGATTGATCTATGTATGCATGTATCTGTATCTTTATGGTTTTTGAAGTTGTCCCTTCAGTGAACAAGCTCTTTTTAGTCACTGTGAAATCTGGAGTTGTCAACACAGTTCGGGTGAGGGGAAGCCTAGCCTCACATTATCCCTTACGCTTTGTTTATGTGAGCAGCAAGATGTCTGCAGAGAAGGGTTCTACTTGTGTGTAGGTTCTGTGCATGATTAGAAATCTCGATTTTCCTTGGTTGTTGTTCTTGTGAAAAGACTGTAGGTAAGCAGGAACCTCTCCTTTTCAGATTTACTGTGGCTCATGTCAGCAAAGCAAAGAGGAAGGGGACAGGGTGAGCATTAAATGCATTAATGATTCTGTATTTCAGAATTTTTGAATAAATAAGGCTTGTAGATATCTGCAGTGAGTGTGGCAGGTGGAGTTCTAGGAGTGCACTGGAAATCCACACCCACCACTCTGAATTGCTGCATTGGTGATAAGAGTTTGTACAGTACTGTGATCAAATAGATTCAATCAAATACCTGGAAAGGAATTACAATATTGATTGTGTCGCCCACTTTCTTCATTAGAGTCTGTCTTAGATTACGTGGCATCCAGATTTTGGGATGTTCTGTGGATCAGAAATCAGGTCAGAGAATTATGAAACCAATCTGCTTAAAATTACTGGATATGCCATAGTTAGGATAACAGCTACGATAGCATATTCTGAGAAACATCTAAGGAATTATGCCAGGTCTTCTAGTTATGTTTTCATATATGAAAAAACCTGGAATGAAAGATGTTACTATCTTCCTTTGGACAGTGGGTGCAGTTTTACACTCTTGCCCTAATAAGATGAACATTACAGTGGTGTTTGGGGAGCAGATGTCACACTGCAACAGGAAAAAAATGAGACAGGAACAGCTGGAGAGTCAAAGAGAGAGTCAAACTGGAGATCTTGAAAATTTGGGGATGTCTTTTAAGAGTGGCCGAAGCTGTGATTGCTACCTATTCTCCACTTGTAGATCTGTAAATTATATATATAAAAATTACAAAAAGTCAGGAAGCCATCTCTCAACTTCATTTTGAAGAAAACTAAATTTATGCAGTCCTGGAGTTTTTATCACCTGGAGACAGCAAGAGTCCTGCTCTTGGATATTCTGCTCCTTAGGAAGCTCCGAGAAGTGTCTTTTGAAACCTCCAGACAGAGATGGATGAGGAATTAGCAGTTATATTAGTTGTACCATCTCCTTGGACTCCAGCCAACTGAATTAGACCACTTGTACATTTTACTTGCAGACAAGGTGATGATTAATGACCTAGATGATAGACGTCTAATGGCAGCAAATCTGGCCTCACTACCCTTGGCAATCCACACTGACTGTGAAAGATCAGGCTTGAAGAGCAAAACAATCCATCAAGCAATGGAGAAACCTATTTGTAAGATGATAGGCCTTTTAAAAATGTGCATCACTAATGTGTTAATCAGGGACACTCTTTTTTGCATGTGAGAATGAAAGTTCTTTAGAGTAATAGCAAGCACTATTATATATTATCCTACAGATGCACCATTGAACTGTTTGAAGAAAGCAGTCAAAATTATTAGACTGTGTGCAAAAGGTATTCAGATCAGATGTATTATATAATGATATTTATAGGAGTATGGCCAGATGAGCAGGTATAAGCCCCTGTTCATTTGACCAGTACTGTAATATTATGCCCTGATCCTCCATCACCAAATTAATAACATCAGTAGAAATGGTCTCAGGGACCAATACCAGCTCACAGTAGCTACTTACGCAAGATCTCACGGATTGTAATGGGCTCTTTGGTAACTGCTGGTAGACTTGACCCAGCTAGGTTTATAGCAGTGACACGAAAATAAAGTCTATCTCCCGTGACCAGATCTTTAAGCAGGACGGAGGTGCGCTCAATCGGGCCATGAAGAGCTGGAATCCATTCTGTGGCTGCAAATGCAAGATCATTTTTCAAGCAGTCATTTGCAAAACTATATACCTAAAGGTGTAACTCTAAGTAAGTAGATCATAATGCATGAAAGTGCTCAGTAAAAGAAATTTGTTAGTCATAACAAAGTTAGTCTAGAGGTGCCACTATGCAGCGAGGGAAATATGAATTCACTTGCATTCTCTCATTCTGAAGTCACATCAGGGAACTGGAGTTTCCCCAGGTATTAACTGGTCATATTAACTGTCCATACAGCACTGATCCCCAACCTTGGGCCTCTAGATGTTCAGTCACATCAGGGAACTGGAGTTTCACCAGGTCTCTTCGTATTAACTGTCCATACAGGGAGAGTGGTGGAAACACCCTATTTACAGTTCTATTTATAACCCTGCAGGTGGCACCATTACAAAGAAACAACCCAGTCAGTTGTAAGTAAGGTCAAACAAGACTTTCCTTCCTTTGTTTCCTCATCTCGTTACTGTATTTCAAAAAGGAAAAAAGAGAGAAGAGTGGTGGAAACACCCTGTTTGCAGTTCTATTTATAACCCTGCAGGTGGCACCATTACAAAGAAACAACCCAGTCAGTTGTAAGTAAGGTCAAACAAGACTTTCCTTCCTTTGTTTCCTCATCTCGTTACTGTATTTCAAAAAGGAAAAAAGGGGAAAAAGCATCTTGCCTGGGCTAATTGTATGTAAGAGTCACAGCAGAAGCTTTATCTCCATCTGATTTACATCCCCAAGCTTGTTAGGATGTGATCAGATGGAGATAAAGCTCACATTTTGTACTATTGGTGGCAAAGACCTGTGTGACTTGTCCTCTGGTGATCACACAACATAGAGCAGATCTCAAACCAGCCCAAGCCTGCTCCATGCCCAGGCTGGACCTTTTTGGCCCAGTGGCAAGGCTACTTTGTTGTTGTTGTTTTTTTTGAGCTGGACTGAAGTGATCCTTGCAGGTACAGAAGAGCTGCTGTAAGGGAAATCAGCCTGACCAGATGGCACGATCCTATACTAATCAGATTGCACTAATGACTGGCTATTTATAGGTCTATATTTATTTATTTATTTATTTGATTTATACCCCGCCTATCTGGACTACTCGTCCACTCTAGGCGGCTTCTGGTCTCACAGTAACCTTTGACCATGCTAGTTAAAAGGCCTTGCAGGTATTCCACCATTTTTCCATAACAGAAAAAAATATCACATTTCAGACAAGAAAATGATCTGAAACTGCCCCCAGTCTGCAATCTTTACTGTGGAGCTACATCAAAAGCAGGCTTAAAATGACTTTCTTTCCATAGATTCTCATTTTTGCACCACCTAGTCTGATGAAAAGCTCTGGAGAACTCAGACACTCGTACATTTTTATGGTGTTTTGGGTGGTCCTCCAAAAAGATGATGGTCAACAGTGACATTTGTTTTTCTGAACATGAGACTCTGGGGTTTGATTCTGCCCAGAAGTTGTAACCATTGCTCCAACATGTTACCTTCCATCTCCTATCTGTACCCACAGGCTACAGCAGTAAAGTCAGAGAAACGTGTAAGAGCCTAAAACAGAAGAGCCAGCTGTCCTTCATCTGACTCAGTGAAAGTGCCCTTCAAAATGCGACAAGGGAGGCTTACTCACATCCTTCTTTGCAGTACTCCACAAGGTAGCCATCCAGTCCTCCTGCTCCAATGCGTTCAGGGGGTCTCCATTTTAAGGCAACAGAAGTGTCTGAAACATCTTCTACTGTGAAGTGCGCTGGCTCACTTGGAGGAGCTAAAAAATAACACAGTATCCATCATCATCATTAATGCTAATAGTAAAGGCAGCATTCTTCTTAATCCATCCCTAAATGCCAGTCAATGTAAAAATGGAGTTGACTGCTAAGAAAATCCATGCTAAGGAGTTTAGACTCTGGAAGAGGTTCCACAAAACGTGGACTATGGTAAAGAAAGTTTCATTGATTGATTGATTTACTATTGATTTGATATTGATTTAATTTAATTCAGACTGGGGCCTCCACAGAAGATATTCAAGGACAGGAGTGTTTACTCAGGGGGGAGGGGAATCAATCTATAAGCTGTGCAACTCTCTGAAAGAGATTTCATAGGTTAGCAGCTGCACCTTACAGTTCAGGTTGGGAACACCTGGGAAGACAGTAGCTCTGTTCAGTTGTTACCCTTCCAGGCATTGTGACGACAGAAAGAGGGAGGTCATTAACCCCACCTAGGTCACTTTGATCCCACAAGCAGTGACAAATCTGAAGAGTCCTGCTCATGTGCAGGTGCAGAATATGTATAGTAAGAACCCAGATTTTACAGGATTCTTTCTTGTGTGTAAAGTTTACATGCGAGCAGGAATCTTACCTCTTCAGACTTGTCACTGCTCATGTGAGCAAACCAATGAGGGAGAAAGCAGAATCGGCTGCCTCTCTTCACTCATGTTGGTGAATGTGGCAAAGGTAATGCATACATAGAGCTACAGCATCTTTAGAACACAACATGTATGCTGATCAGGGTACTGGCCAGGAGGGAGGCTACTATATTGTGTACTACCTGTAGTTTCTAAGCAAAACCCCAGTACTTATTCAGATATATAGTCTGCCTTTCTTCCATGTCTCTCTTCCTCCTCACTCAACCCTCATAAAAGCCCTGTGAGACCAAATGGGGCTGAAAGAGAGTGCAAGCAGTCTAAAATGTAAATTTCATGGCTGGGTACGGTCTTGAACCTGAATCTCCCATGCTATGGTCCAGCACACTAATTGCTACACTACACAGGCAGAATGTAGACTGCATCTGTCAGAGATGCGTCATAGCAGTGAAGTAAATGAAGTGGCAATTTCTCATCTTTGGTGGGAGGGGAAAGTGTATTAGCAAATGTGCCAATACAGTATACGTAATCTCTGTAATGAATGGCAATGACACAAAGTTAGCAGCTAAAGGCAGAACAGAAAGGCATATGAAACTGTTGTCTGGATGTATCTGGATAATGTTGCATGACAAAAGACCAATAAAAGACTAGCAAAATAATATGGACACATCAGCTGGTGCGATTATAAAAAGGCCAAAGAACATTATACTGTATTAAGAAAACTTTATGCGTTTTCTTTAAGTGAAACAGAGATATTCCTATATCCCCATCCAGTCTTTTACTGGATGGGTACTTATTTGTCTTTTACAAATATGCTAGAATAACAGGCATTTGCTATCTAGAATTTTAAAAAAACACACCACAAGAGAACTGGGGGCATTCTGATTATAATTATTTACTTCATGTTTCTCAGCCTCATATCTAGAAACAGGTCTGCTAGCTCACATAGCCGACAAAGAATCTTGGCATAGATATTGTGGTCAACTCTGATGCATTTTGGGTCTCCATGCCTTGAATTCAGCAGATGTAAACTCTGATGTACTGTATTTCGGGTCTCCATGCCTTGAATTCAGCAGATGTGATGCAGATCTGTTGGTGATAGAAATTCAGCTATAAGTGTCGTAGGATTTTATTACGTGTGTTATATCGGTGTGTTTTATTATTCATGTAAGCCACCCTGAGTAGACTTTGTCTAGGGGGGCGGGGTAAAAGTCTAATAAAAGTAAAAGTAAAAAAAAGATAGGTGTGGTGCTTTTTAAACATCTCACAAGAGGTCTCCCTCTGGCAGTCCTAGAGATAAAACTATACAATAACTAGAGATACATAGTTATCCAGATATATTCACATATGTTCAATTTCTACATTCACTTTAGATCAGTGAAGTTCCAAGATGTATCCTTAGTGCCCCAGGAGTGACAATAGTAAGAGATAAAAGTATGCCTGCTGCTATCATCCCTCCTGGGTGGCATGTGAAGAAAATGAACATATATCTTTTATGCAAGATGAACAAGTCTCTTCTCTGTACTGTCTCAGCCAGACAGGCTAAGATGGAGGACATAAGGAGAAGTGTGTGTATGTAGTGTTTTGTTTTGGAGTGTGTAAATAGGTTAAAAATGGAGGAGGTTGGACAATAAGAGAGAAAAGGAAGATAGGAGTTTGTGCATATTTATAAGGAATGGGTTTGGACAACATGATATATCAAGGAATCAAGGGGACCCCCTCGGTTTTTAGATTTGGCTCACATGAGTTACACTGCAGTTAGCTCATTGTATGGTCCAAACAGAGGTTCTTTCTCCATTCTAGTTTCTCTGTCTTCCAACAAGCCAAATGAACCCATCTTTCTCTGGCTGGTTGCAAAAGAAGCAAAGCAGAGAGAAAGAAGCACACACCTGGACACAGCTAAGCTCTGCCACTTGCTTTGCTCTTTCTATGGCAAACAGGGAATAGCAGGGCTGTGAGCACCAATACACTACTTGTAACTGATTAAGATATTATTCCCTGGCTTAGTACACTGCCCGAACATGGCCGTAGCTTGAATATATGTAGGACTAGCAGATAGATGGACAGTATTCCAACAATATCCCATTTTGCTACTATAGAAGTTATGAATCTGTCCAGCGAATAAATTCAGGGATCACAACTTTACCTCCAGAGTCAAATGTCACACAGTCATCAGCATTTATAAAAACAAATTTTACAAGACTTCCTGTCTCTTTAAGATATTTTGAACCAAATAAATTTCATTTACATCCTCCAGATTATAATGCATAAAACTAAAACTTTCTACTGTCTGAATAAGTTGCTGAAGGCAGCAATGAACTTCCTTCATGTTAAGTGACAAGTACTCAATAGTTTTGGCACCTTCTCATAGCATTTAGATCACTCAGAAAGGGTTTAAAAACGATTTCAGTATAACAAATGTATTGCTAGCCATATGTATGCTTAGCATACGCCACACAACCCTTTGGTGTTTAAACATATTATGTTCCTTATTTTAAGTATTTATCTATGCAGAATATTCCATACCACATAAAACCAACATTTTTTAAAAAACACACACAACAGATGGAGAATCTAACATTAGCACCCCACCTTTTGGTGTTGCAATGAACACATTTAGCTCACTTGCTTTCTTGTAACTACATGTAATTAAAGCCAGGCATTAGAAGTCATTTTAAAAAAGCATGCCACCATACACAGGAGTGCAGATGCATTATGAAACAACATATCTTATTAACCCAACACCTCTTTCTCCAAATAGGCAGGGTAGAGCTTTTTTCTAACAAAATAAATCTTGTCTTATTCTATTAAGACCTTGGACCTTTTAGGTCAGTTGCTTCCTGCAGGGGCTCTTGAATGTCTTTGCTCTCCACAGGCTCATCATTTAGTGGTAGCTGAAGATCAGGGCTCACCACCTCCACTGGATGTATATTTTCTTCTTCTGGCCCATTGCTGGGGATTTCTAGTTTCATACTGTCACCTTCCAAAAGCAGTTCCTCTTCTTTATGTTCTTCCACAGGCTGAACCACTACTTTAGTCATTTCTGCTACTGTTCTGCCTCAACTGCCTAGATGGTTCTTTTCTATCCCAGACTCACACTTTGCCCTTAGTTCAGAGACTGATAGAAATACTGTAAGGGAAGGGTGATAGTGATTATTTTTAGAAAATAATTCCATGGATATTTTCTTAATGAGCTGTACTTGCAGCTCCACAGGGGTGGGGAGATTAATGGAGCACTAGGTGGTATACTATGATATTTGCACCCATAATGGAATGGGGGAAGCTGAGAGGCAATGGGAGGTCACTGCCAATTAGTTCCCCTCTCTTGTCAAGACCCAGCTTGCCTCTCACACTTCTAATTTTAACAGTTAGAAATTCATCAGCAATTCCATGAAATTGGAACCACCCTGCTCCCAGTTACGAGGAGGGGTTAAAAAAAGTTTAGAACTTATAAAACAGATAAATAAACTAAAATAACTAATCAGCTGTCTTGAGAAACGGGACTTGGTGCCCCTATGAGGTGAAGGCAAAAATATGACTGTGTTCATATGTGCCTCTTGCTCCCTTCTGGAAGATTTTAGAAGCAGAATGAATTGTCTGTTGACACTCACTTTAGCACATCACACTTACCAATTGGCATGAAAGGCTGTGAGGCAGGACTAGGCCGAGACATGCCAACAGAATTCACTGCATAAATTCGCATTTCGTAGACAACTCCTTCAATCATCCTCTTTGCTTCATAGGACTGTTCCTTCAGAAGGTCAAAGTTCAACCTCATCCACCTGTAGCTCTTTTTCTTCTTTCTTTCTAAGATGTAGCCTGAAAATTGAAAAAAAAGATGTTAAGGGATGTGGAGGAACTAGCTACAGCTGGAGAAAGAGAGACATAAGCACAACAATTTTGTTTTTAGCAAAATCAGAAACTCCTGGCCCAGATTTCTATTCATCAAGTTCATGTTTTAGAACTTCTGACACTTAGTTGTTCTTCTGATGGATTAAGACAGGTGATTTAATGAATATTTAGCAGATCAAACATCTCTCTTTTAGCTAATAAATGAACCACTTCAATTTAAATGTGATATATTCATGCTAGAGAGGAGGATATTTGTATATGAATACCCCTGCACAGCTGGATTTAATGAGGGTCTGGCCCCTGGGGCTGGACCATCCATTCACCTGTCGGCCAGTGGCAGTGGCCCCTGTCTTCCTTCCAATCACTCCCGGAGCCTCACTTGGCTAGCCATTCCTGGCAATGGGAGGCAGGACAAGTCTCTTTGTGCAAGGCTGCTGAGCCACTAGCTGAATGGTGCCCCAGAGCGATTGGAAAGAAGAGGGGACCGCCACTGTCACCGGACATGTGAGTGGATGGTCGGGCCGCCACTGTCACCGGACGTGTGAGTGGATGGTCCGACCCCAGGGGCCAAACCCTTGTTAAATCCAGCTGTGCAGGGGTATTCACATTTGTGAGACCTGAGGTGAGGCAATAGAAGTCCTCGCCGGAGTGTCGTCCTCAGTTAAGGGAGAACAAGAGACACAGACAGCATCTCCGACTTCACGCGTCGCGGTCAGACACCAGGGGGTAGACACAGGAGACTTGGAACAGGGGCTACAGAGGATGTCTGTCTCTTCACAGACCCTGACAGAAAAGGCGGGAACCCGGGTAGCAGCGAGAACGTTAATAGAGGCAGGGCTTGGGGAGGTGAAGGAGGAGGGAGACAAGATACCGGGGGGATGGGAATGGATCTGGGTAGAAGATCCCTGGACAGGGAGAAGTGAGAGGGTGAAAGTGCCTCGGGAGGAGTCAGATTACAGAAGAAGAAGGGTTTACCCCCCAGACCGTCGTACTGGGGTGAGACTTAGGCAAGGGAGTGGAGGAGACATTTGAGGGAGGAAAAAGAGAGAGAGGAGAAGGAAGAAAGAGAAAGGAGGGCATGGCAACTGGAGGAGGCTCGCGGGAGGAGGTGTTTACAGGACCCTGGGACCCCTATGCTGAGGGAAGCGACCCTTTCGACTTGGAGAGGAGAGATGAAGAAACATTACCTTTGATTGAGGTGGACGTTGAAGGGAAGGTACTGGGTGAAGTTAACCCGTTTACCAAAGGAGCTTGGTATGAACCTAGTTTCAATCCCTTTTTGCAAGAAGCATGGACACCCTCGTTTGACCCGTTGGGGACGAGAAAAAAGGCTAATGACAAGTTTAATGTTGATACCTCTTTATTTGATGTTCCAATAAACCCCAGTTCTGTTTTCCAAGATCAAGAGACTCCCGTGTTTGTGTCTGGTAAGCCTGAGGTAACTATTGAACCCTCACAACATTCATATACAAATACCCCCATCTCTAATTAACACTTACTTAACAAATGAGTGTGACTGAAAGGAAGTCTTGAGGCAGGGCATTCTCCAGCCCCTCCTCCAAATGCAGCTCATGGAACAACAACACCGAAGGGATAAGGATGCTCAGCAACATTGTGAGACAGGACATAAGACTCAGATAATTTTCTAGTGTTGGTCATGAGCAGGCAACATGATGTCTCCAAACGGATTTAGACGGCAGGTTTCACTAGCCACAGTGGTCAGCATTATGTTAGTTATACTCCATAAATTGCGAGGGCATCATATTGTTTACCAGTGACCTAACACAAGTGTTCTTTATATGCTTTAATGATTTGATTTGATTCATTTTCACACCATGAAAATCTCAAGATACATGCCCTTTTGATATATTTAACAAAGAGCAAGGCAACATAAACAGAGCAAGAAAACAAAGTGAGATTAAACTTATTGTCTGGGATCCTGTTCAGGAGTTCTTCAATATCCTGTAACATAATACCTCCCTGCTTGCTGAGATCTTTGTTCAAGCCTACTATATCTTTCCTTTCCATCTAAATCCAATAATCTGTTTTGGCTGTAGATGTTGAAGATAATCAGTGGAAGCATTTCTCTCAGTCCCACCATCTTCACACATGTGTTTGGTGGGGGCACACGAGGGGGCCTTCTCTGTTGCTGCTACCAAACTCTGGAACTCCCTCCCACAGGAGGCCAGACTGGCCCCATCTTTGCTGTCCTTCCACAAGCAGATGAAGGCCTTTTACTTCAGGCGGGCTTTCCCTTGGTGAATGACTGTCTGAGAGACACTTTTAAATAGAATGTTGTGCCTTGTTGCTTTGAATGTGTTTTGGGTGTTGCTTTTGTTTACCACTTTTAGTATGATATTTGTTTCATTATTTTAAAATATTTTTTAAGTTTTTAGCTTTGAAATTTTATCTTTTAATGATGTAAGTCACCTTGGGTCATTTTCAAGGAGAAAGGTGGATCAAAATATTTTAAATAAAATAAGTATTCCTAGCACGGTCTCTGACTCCCTCTCATGGCTGGTTCTAGTAATACATGTGAAATAGGTTTCCTTGGATTTTTTTTCTTTTAGTATTTTACATATTTTCAGACCGTGAGTAAGTGAAACTACAGATAGTGATCTCACAGATATGTGGGTCATACTGTAGTTACAAAAATGAGTTTGGTCTAACTCAGCTCACAGCCTTACGTATTTAGCCAGAATCCTGGATCTATGTGTATTCTATGTATAGATGCAAAGAAACATCTTTAGGCTTCTTTGAGGCTTGTTCCCACTGTACATGTGACTGCAACGAAACTAACTGCAGTTTGACAGCTTCCCATGGATACACAGCTCAAACCAACTGTGGTCCAATTGTTCTGCTTTATAAATAATCTAGAGCCCAGTTGTGACCACACTTTTGTCCTATTTGGTGTGTGACATTATGATTATCAGCAGCAGAATAAACACTGATTGAGTCCTTGATAGCTGGTATACTCATCCCCCCCCCCAGAAATGCTTAGCTAACTTTAAAGGATCTAGAAAAAAGGATACTTTCTAAGAAAGGCTAATCATCCCTTAGAACTTGGAAGAGCTACTCACCATCTATTCAAGATGCAGAAACTGAGTACTATGAGAAACTCCAGCATCTTGTTTTGCACTTACGTTTATCATAATATAGGATGTGATCAGACGGGGAGTTGTCTCACTTTTTGGTCCACAGAGGGGATGGGCTGATTCACTCCTTTTTCCATTGATCAAATGGTGTAACTGGTGGAACAAACCAGCTTGTCACCAGAGCATTCTTACCCACACCTCTCAGGGTCCCTGTCAAGGGTTTTTATTTTTGTTGGTGCAGGGTAGGATCACTCTGTTTTGGTTCATTTCCAGTGCATGTGATTGCTGGGATCAAACCAAAGTGAGCTTCCTTCTCTAATTTCCCCACTGGTTTCAATATCTCCATATCATTAGTGGATTAAACAGACATCTTAACCATTTAATGATATGAGGAAACTAATTAAACTGGAAATTAAAAACCGCTTTTCTCTGTTCCTCCATGGAGCAGAGGGAGGAAGAAACAACATTTCTTAAGCCAATTTATGTGCTCTACCAGTTAGAGAAAATGTTAAAAATGAAATACTATGCTCAGAAGCAAGATGAGACAGAAGGGAGCAAGGACAGAGATCCCTCCCACTTGTCTTTGCTTCCTTAAAGGAGCTGGAATCACTTGAGGTACATACGCCATTTGAATGCAAGGATAGCACCAAATGGCATACCAGACTTCCACCCGTCCTTAAGTGGACCTATTTACATTACTCCATCTTGCTCCTATTGAGCCCATGTAGACAAGCTCATAATTACATGGGACAAATAATCATATCCAGCCTACCATAGGCTCAGTTATCTGTCATACTAAGTCTGCTAAAAAAATAATTATCAACGATCGGTCAAATAGCTTATTCTCTAATTAGAACATAAACCAATTAAAAGGTCTAAGCTTTAACTCTCTAAGTAAAGTTATGGAGTCCAAGCAAATTAAAATGTTCTCTGCCCTCTCTGGTTTCTGTATGCTTATAATTTTAATGTCCACAAAGTGTTGTTTAATTAAGGATGGCCTATTTGACTGGTGGCTACATAAATTCTAATGTAGTCATCTTAGATAGAATAACTACATGGTAAGTTACAGCTCTAAAATGCAAAATTGGATATAATTGGTCAGATACTATTTTTGTCATGCTTAGAAAATGTATGGAAGTGAGAGCTGGACCATAAAGAAAGCTGACCGCCAAAGAATTGATGCTGTTGAATTGTGGTGCTGGAGGAGACTCTTGAGAGTCCCGTAGACTGCAAGGAGAACAAACCTATCAATTCTGAAGGAAATCAACCCTGAGTGCTCACTGGAAGGACAGATTCTGAAGCTGAGGCTCCAATACTTTGGCCATCTCATGAGAAGAGAAGACTCCCTGGAAAAGACCCTGATGTTGGGAAAGTGTGAAGGCAAGAGGAGAAGGGGACGACAGAGGATGAGATGGTTCAACAGTGTCATTGAAGCTACCAACATGAATTTGACCCAACTCCGGGATGCACAGGAGGGCCTGGCGTGCTCTGATCCATGGGGTCACGAAGAGTCAGACATGACTTAACAACTAAACAACAACAAGAAAATAGCCAGTGAAATCAATGGGACTTCAATTAGGGAATGATCAGATAAGTGTATGGTTCTATTTCGTTTGCTTTTGGTGCAATTTCGTTTGCCCTATTTTCTGGTGACTATTTGTATTTTAAGTAAGAGAAATCCATCCCAGCTCTTATGTGGACTCTTCTGCTCCTTTCTGGCACAGTACTAGGATGGCAGCTTATTTAGCGTGATTAGGGAGCGGTTCTGATTATCCCATTCTGCAGCATGTGTGGTTGCTTAATTTGCTCCCTAGTAGAGCATTGGCGACATTCTCTTGGGTTACAACCCTGTGACACATATGCAGTGGGCAGTACAGTAGAGAGAACAGTGGAGAAACTCTCTCCTCACAATTTTTTAAAAATATTCTCCTAAGTGATGCAACACTAATAGTTATACAGTACAGGAGTATCCATGCTAGACTGATGTATTGATGTAGTGCTATGCCACTTACTGAATTAATAGATATACAGTACAGGAGTATCCATGCTAGATTGATGTACTGATGTAGTGCTATGCCACTTACTGAATTAAACCAAAAAGGGAGGAAGTCACATGACCTATGGAATGACAACTGTGACAATAGGCAGGGAAAGGGGCAGAGGCAGAAGCATCAATAATCAAAGGAGAAATGGGAGCCATCTGAAGTGCTATCTGGATCCTTCTCATGGGAGAAGAAATATATCCTGTGTGAATGGAAGGATTGTTCATGTGAGAGATAAAAAGGATCACACTGAAGATAAGAGCCTTTTAAAAGCAACCTGAATTACTCCAAATTGCCCACCTAGTTGAGCCCTTAGTCAAAACTAAAGCCCCATTAGTTATTTAAGCATGAATAAGTAAGTCTGTCTTCAGCCCTATGAATCAATTTGATAATCCCTTCTAAGGGATCTTCATTCATTGGACTCCCATACAGTACCATTCAGATGTATGTCACACCATATCCAATGAGATTACTCTTTAGTGAGCATATTTCGGATTGTAGACTTACTCTACTAGTGTTGGCAAGGACTCCTTTTCAACTAAAATGCACCACTGGAGAATGCTCTTAATATGACATTGACAGCAAAAAAAAAACAACAAAAAAAACAGCCATTTAAAAATCTAGTTTATCCATAACCCTTTTCTTAAATTTACAGACGGAAAAACTAGTTCAAGCATCTCTTAGTTCACTGATTTGATCCAGAAGAGTATTCACTATGTAGGTGTATAATGCATTAGTAGAGCTTGCAAAAGTTATTTATTCAGACTACAGCTCCCAGAATCCCCAGCCAGCATGGCCACTAGTCGTGCTGGCTGGAATGCCCTGGAAGCTATTCTCCAAGTGAGCATGGTCACTAGTCGTGCTGCCTGGAATGCCCTGGAAGCTATTCTCCAAGTAAGGGTCATGTCCAGGTTCTGCCTTTTAGAACTGCTCAAGCTCTACAGTGCCATGGCGTTCTTCATGGTTTTGGCTATACTCTCACATTAAAGTCAGGCCCATTGATTCCAATATGCTCAAGAGTGCCATCACTTGGGATTATGGCCTTTAACTTCATCTGGTAATGATGACATCTTCTTCGTGTCCTTCTCTCCTGACACTTGATATTCTCATCAGTGACCTTGTCCAAAGATAGTCTTAACTCAGGGAAATATGTCCCAGTCTTAGAGCTGCTTTGCATATCACAGCACTAGCAGAATAAAAAGAAGCAATTTTATGCTTTACGTGTCTGTGTTTTTCTGTAATATCTGGAATTTGGAAAAAGCAATCCATGTGTTTTTTTTTATAGGCTTCCATTCTGGGAATTCCACAAGAAGCAAAACTACTTCTAATTGCAAGGTTATGTGTAATGTACTAAACCATTCTTAAAACAATGAGGGTACTTATCCTTAAAATAACAAGTCAGGGATGGGAGAGTATGTGAGCTCAAAGAGATAACTGAATAATGCAAAGCTGTTTCAGAATACTGGGATTCCTATGAGTAAATAAAAATAGTTTTTAAAAATGTGTTTGTGTGTGTTCTGTGCTGTCAAGTTCGAACTAACTTATAGCAACCCTAACAAGGCTTTCAAGGTAAGTGAGATATTTAGGGGGTGGTTTTACCAGTTCCACATCTCTACTGAGTTACCATGGTGAAGCGGAGGGGGGGGGGTTGAACCCTGTTCTCCAGAGTCCTAATACCAGTTCCACATCCCCACGGAGTTACCATGGTGAAGCGGGGGGGGGGTTTGAACCCTGTTCTCCAGAGTCCTAATCCCTCACTGTATCCACTACACCACACACACATATATATAAGATTCCAAATGTGGTGTAATGGATATAGTGAGGGACTAGGACTCTAGAATCATATACAGTATATAAAAGTCTTCTGATGATACTATCTCCGTAGGGATTCTTACCGAGTACTGGCTGTCCTCCATCATACTTGGGAGGCTCCCATTCCACTGTGCAGTTGTCTTCTCCAACATTGGAGATTTTGGGAGCCTCAGGTGGATCAGGTACATCTAAGGAAAAAGGAAAGAAATAATTCTGAAGAATTTGCTTGACCATTGATACCCCTCTTGTAGTTAATCTGTGGAATTTGTTACTACAAAGGGCAATGACAGTCACCAACTGAGATGGCTTTCAAAGAAGATTAGAAAAATTCATGGTAGAGTCAGCTATCAGTTACTACTATCATGCTGGCAACATAACACTACCACTGAGGAATAACATAGGTTTCTGAGTGGCACTGTAGGAATGGAATGCTGGCCAATGGTCTGACCTGGCAGGACAGCTAGACTTATTCTTGGTGAATTCCTATCTGAATATACTACAGCTATAACACTTTATAATGATTCTTCCAAATTACATAAAGCTATTTGTTTATTTGGGAAGGATTCTTGGTTTTGATGCACTTCTCAATGTACTTCTATTTGATGAGACTGAAATTATTTAGCTTCTTTATACGAGGAAAGATTAAACTCTTGACAAAATAAAAATATTGAAATATTCACGAACCCTACACTGATATGTACTGGCATCTGGATACATAATATTAACATATATTGTTCAGTTGAGAGAACAGAATTTTACCTCTCAAGCAACTCATGGTTTATAGAGGAATGTGAAGCTGAGAAAAGACACATAAACTGGTAAAGGTAAAGGTTCCCCTTGACATTTTTAGTCCAGTCGTGTCCGACTCTAGGGGACGGTGCTCATCCCGTTTTTCAAGCCGTAGAGCCAGCGCTTGTGCAAAGACAGTTTCCGTTGTCACGTGGCCAGCCTGACTAGGGAACACTGTTTTATCTTCCCACTGAGGTGGTCCCTATTTATCTACTGGCATTTACATGCTTTCGAACTGCTAGGTTGGTGAGGAGCTGGGACAAAGCGACGGGAGCTCACTCCATCACGTGGATTCGATCTTACGACTGCTGGTCTTCTGACCCTGCAGCACAGGCTTCTGCGGTTTAGCCCGCAGCGCCACCACATCCCTTAAACTGGATTTCTTCTAAAAACAGCATTTTCTGGAACTCTCTCCCCTTGTAAATCACTAATCTGTGATAGTCAAAATTCTCCAGTATAGCTATGCAAAAGGCATAATTTTGGAGGCAAATTACCCTAAATTGAGAGATCGCCATATATCACTTCTAAAAGTTACACCAAGTGTCTTATGTGAGCATAATTATGTAAGAGGACTAGTGCCAATGTTTCTGAAATTTGTTCTGTTTAACCAAAACATCTGGGGGAAAAGCACATGAATGGCATGCTGGTATGTATTGTATTTAGACAAGAGAAACAACCCACATGATTTAGTCTTGCTCTGGGCCACTTCCTGTGGTGGGACATGGGAGGCACACTGGACCTCCTGAAATATACTGGAGGCACACTGTTGCCAAATTTGCCATTGCCAAGGTATGTAGTTGCTGCAGAAATTTGACTGTGTTGGCTGTGTATGATGCAGACGGGTATCAGGGAGTCTT